AGAAAGAAGAAAATGAATGCTTTATTGATGATCCTATCAGTTGTACTAGTATCTACATTAACTGGATCTACTAACAATTACTACAATGGTAAGATACTGACTACTATACTAATGGATAATAATATATGCCTGTTTGAATTACATATACATGTACTATCAACAACAAGAAGCTAGTGATAACAAAGGATTATATACAGATTGTTGTAAGTTCATTAATACACTATTAATTTATTATCTACTCACACACACATGCACACATATAAGCTACTTCTCGAGATTTTGCTACAATAAGCAATGTATCATCAAATATAACTGGAAAAACAATTAAACCAGGACAAAGCTATAATATCCAAGGAGACATAAATTTCAGTAATCAAGATACATGTATATAAAAGTAATGTTATTTTTGTCTTTCAGAAAAGAAGTTGCAATGGGGTATATTACATATAATTATAACACATCAATTCAAAAATTACTTAAATCTTACTTTTGTGGATGCTAAGTATAATCTTTGTGACATGATTGTCTCATTGACTAATGAATACTGTCCATTGAAACTTGGAATATATCATGGAAAATTTGAAGATACAATCCCATCACTTGACTGGCCTGTAAGCAAACAAAATACTTTATATAATTAAAATCATTAAACATTCTCTTTAAAGGGCAAGTTTCACTTTAAAGCCATTGCTTACAATGAGAATAGTGATGAAATATATTGTGGAATGATAGAAGTTGACATTGAAAAATAACATACATGTAGCTAATTAAAAATTGGAACATTATGATTACATTATTATAATTAGCTAGGATTATAATCAAATCAATTTTGTTTTATTATTGTATCAGAATCTAAAATTACAAGTAAAATCCATTTACATAAATCAATGATAGTTCAATCATTAAGCACAGTGTCAACCACACAGGTCAATATCTTACTTATACTATCATTACATGTACTACAGTGTGTCTCGTCCATACCCATGCTTTATTAATTTGTCAAATCACTTAATTGCCAAAATAAGTAACAGTACTATAAAACATGCATAAATCTTATGGGCAGATAACTACCACAGCACATCAAAAGTTGCTATGGCAATAAGGACACCCCCATAACATGTTACAATTATATTTCATAGCCTGCACTGAGTACATGTACCATATAAAACCTTCAGAAAGGAGAGCAATTGATGTGTGAAATGATGCACCTGAGTTAATTACTATATGCAGTGATTGAATAACATTAATAAATTCAAATGTCAGTAGAGTAGCTTCACAGTGCTCTTTTTTAATCATATAAAAATGAATGACAATAAAATAGTAAATAGTAATCATCTAATGACTGTAGCCATTTTCTGAATAAAGGATCAAAACATATACAAAGATTGATATAAGTACAGTAAATTATATTGCCAAAGAGCTTAATTTGATCAATATGGAAGTTGAAAGTTGCTAAGAAATAAACAGACACATTTAGTAAGCTATCAAGCTATAAGTTTACACATCAACAGCATTATTAATATTTTCATTCAATCAGAGCTGTGCTTAATGCAACCATTACTATAAATTTTCCTATTTACTATAGGCTTTATTAAAATAACTATTACAATACATCATAGCAAAAGAAAAGAATAATGCTAATTTATAATGTGCCCATTGTATTTTATTGCAATAAGTTTTTGAAACACTGCATCAGTCATTGAGCACCTATCTTGCCTAAAAATTTTTCCGGCAATTATACTAAAAAGTCTTTCTACTGGGGCTGATGAAGCTGGTATTGATAAATAGTACTTTGCCATCCTCGATAGTTTAGGAAATTTGGATTCATTCAGCTTCCAAAAGTCAAGAGGCTTAGCCTCTTCAGGCAGTGCTGGCTCTGACAAATATAAGTCGACTTCAATATTTATACGTGATGATGTCTTTGTACTAGGTAAGTAACTGAAAAGCTTTCTTCTCTTTGGCTGTGGTTGCTGTACTGAGTCACCAGCTGCTGATGATGTGCTGCTCAATTCCTCATTGTCAAATTCATTTGACATTATTTCAATGAACTTGGACTTCATATTCATTTTTTCTTCATTACTGCTGCACCATACCAATTTAAAACGTGGATCAAGAATGGCAGCACAAATAAAGTGATCTCGACTCTCATAGCAACTCATTCTATAATTGAGAGAAGCCAATAGATCAGTAACAATTGCTGACTTGTGCTTCAGTTTGAGAGAGTCTAGAGCAGCTTGTAATCCACGAATACAAGGTATAACAAAACTCCCAGTGACAATGTCTTGCTCTTGCAGAGCATCTGTAGCTTCCTCAAATGGGATCAGTATCTCAATAAGATCATTTAGCATTACACGTTCATATGAGCTAAGCTGCTGACAATCTAGAAGCTGCAGATTTTCAACTGGTACAGACAGAAGTGAACGAATGACTTTTATGTCACTGTTCCACCCTTTAGCAATATTGGCCTGTGCTTGCCCCTCACCTTCCAACATGTCACTAGTGTTAATCGATTTTTGGGTACATGAAACAATGTTTGCTGCTTTGGTGAGGACTTCGTTAATTGCTCTGGCATTTTTAATGCCATCTTTAACTACCAGTTGGATAGTATGGGCAAAACAGGAATCATGTTGTGGGAGAAGAGCCATACACTCACTTAAGTTAACTGCTTCAATCTCATTCTCATCAGCCTCTACATCATTAAATTCCCCTAAAAGTGCTGGTGAAGAACAATCATCAAAACCTGGCAGTCTAAACACATTTAACACAGTAGAAGCATTGTCAGTAATGATGTTAGAAATTTTTTCGGCTAAGGAGTAGTGATCTAGAGTTTCATGGCATCTTCTAGCAATGTTGTCTGCTGTGTGACAACCAAAAAAAGACATGCACCCAAGAAGCACTGATTGGATGGACCAGTCTTGGATGAAGTGACAGGTTATGGCCAGATATCCCTTCATTTGTAAATTAGAACAAAGATCCAAAGTGATACAAACCCTATCCATCTTTCCAAGGAGCTGCTTTAGACGATCATCAATCACTGTACACTTCTCTGTGAGTAGTGTAGTCATCAAATGCTTCTGTGAAGGAAGCTGGTATTGCTGGTCTAAGGTACTGACAAACTGTATAAAAGCATCACTTTCAACTAGTGATGGGGAAAGCATGTCCTTTGCTATAAGATAAATCAGCAAATCAGTAATCTTCTTTTGACGTGGATCTCCTTCTCTGTACTTTCCACCTTGTGCATCGGCTTTGGGTCCTTGTGCTGGGACTGCTGGGGCTTGAGGCATTAAAAAAGCATTAGGATGCTTCCTCTGATGAAGAAAGTAATGTTTGAAATTAGATCTAGTGTACAGCAGGTAGGCTTACTTTAAGGTGTGTTGTGAAATTGGAACAAGTCTTTGTTGATGCTGAGATCATAGACCCACAATGTTTACATTTTGCCTTGTAGTTCTTGCCTTGGAATAGAGTAGGAGTCTCAAAATGACAAAGTATTTTTGACTCAGTAGCCATCACACTCACTGTCACAAATGCTCCAGCTGCTATAGGAATTCTTAGAAAGCCTATATTTATACTAATACTACTACTACTACTAATAGTCTACACAAACTATTGACAGGCTTCCTAAGTTTTTATTTTAGATTTTTTAATGTAATTTGCAACAACAGGACAAAAAGCTTCGTGCAGTAATCGACTTAATTTGCAAAAAAGTTTAGCTAGCTTCTTTTCTTGCTCATTTGCATAGTCTAACAGTGCATTTGAAACAGCAAAAAATATGAGGTCATTACTAGCTACTACTATTACTTCCTGTTGACAAAAACTACTCTATTACTATTACTATTACTATTACTATTACTATAGAGACACTGTAGAATCATCCCACATACTATGTACCATATAAGTGGGTTTTTTGGAGGGCTGCAAATTTTGTGGATTCCTTCCTGATTCGCGAAAATAAAACTGCAAAAATCAATTTAATATGGTACTCATAGCACACATGGTAGAATTCGCGAAAATAAAATCTGCAAATTAAAATTTTAGCAGATTTCGCAAAGTATAATTCCCTTAAAATCACTTCTTATACAGTATACAAATGCACTCAATGACAATAAATAAGAGATAAAGAGCAATACAGATGAGAAAAGGAGAAAATAGAGGAGATGAATATTCATTTATAAATACAGTCAGTATAATGATGTCTCATGATCTGCCTGAAGCCCATGCTTAATGCCTGCACATATACATATAGAGAGATAATAATGTAGATTAAGTATAACTGATGTGTTGAATACATCGTATAAAGAAGGAAGAGACAATCTGTAGATTATGTACGCATTTCTCTATAGTAAAGACAATAATTAATAGGGATATGTACCTCTTTGATTTTAACACAAGCTGCTGGTATATTTGTCATGGTAACTTATTATTGCCCATTTTTCTCTAGTTCTGTCTATCATTAAAATACACAAAATTTGTCAGAGAAGGAATTTATCATTTAAAAGTTTGGGTAGAGCAAATTATGATTAATATTGAGTGATTTAATGCTAAAAGTAATGAAAATTAAAGGAGAAAAACAATCATGTTTATAATTATGATACGTAAAAACTAAATGGATAGTCTAACAGAATATTATGATACTGCACATGTGTCAGTATTTGACATGATACACTTTTCAGATTACATACATCACAAATAATAAAATTAACAGCACATCCAAACTCGTCAAACATATAGGTACATATGTACAATTGTACAGTAAAAGCTTCATAAAATTTTGTGATAAGCTTATGACTTAAAAATTTCTAGTGGATACAAGTGCACACATTAATAGGTGTAGTTAATGGTGGATGGCTCCAATGGAACTCTATTGTTGCTTTGATTTAGCCATAATCTACATAACTACCAGACTAGTAAGAACACAATGAGCAGTGAGCATTTGCTGAGTCATAAATAACTCACAAGCAAAATTCATGATTTTCATTACCCAACAATATTTTGTACATGTATAACATCAAGTATAAATGAGTATCTAACTGTACTATATACTAGTTATTCAAACAGCCTGTACTGTATTAAAGCAAACCATTGTAGACACACATGAACACACACACTATGCCTAGTAGTACACATGTAAAATGTGCCCACAAAAAAAAGAATTATGTGGTGGAGTAAATTTGGGTGAATTAGGCAAATTAATATCCACTTGCAAATTTTTAACCACTAAACCTCTTTTAGAGTCAATTCGCCAAATATTGACGCTAAATTTTAAATATATACACAACGTACAAGTATAATATAACACATAATGGTATATTATAGAATTCCAAGATACTCTGTAAGTGGTAGCATGTACCGTATTTGCTCAATTAAACGCCTGGGCGTTTATTTCTTAACAGAGAAAAATTTAAGTAAAAAAAGCAAAAAAGGCCATAGTGGATTTGAACCCATGACCTTCTGGCGTTCCAACTTGTACTCCAACAGTTAAGGCGGCTTTACAATATTACGCTAGTCCTGACATTATGTTCACGCTGGAATAGAATCTGGTTCTATTCCAGCGGAAAGCATGCGTCAAAAGGTCAAATCGCCTACGCTTTTGATTAAAAATTGACGGTACGCTGGCCTAATGTCATATTGTAAATCCGCCTTTAGACTATCTGGGACAATCTAAATCCTAGGGCACATATACTGGCTGAAATATGCGTATCTATAGTTAGAAAATATTTGTCATGGGCGTTTATTTGAGCAGGGCGTTTATTAGAGTAAATACGGTATATAAGAAACTATAAAATAAATCTTATTAAAACAGGAACAGAGACTTGAGTTAGCATGTAAATTAAATTATAAAGGAGATTGTGGGATGCATTTAAAGGTTGAGGAGGGTCCTAATCTTTATACTTAGACCCTTCAAATTAGGACATTTGTAATTACTATTTCAAAGAAATTTATATGCATAGACACTAGACAGTACATTCTAACAGACTCTTACAAGGTTTTCTTGGCCTCTCCATCCTCCAACTGTCCACTCATGATATAGCCTCACATGAAGAGCTGTCCTATTGAAGTAATGAGTACAGTGAAATTAGCTCCACAGTTGATCTGAGTGGGTCTTATCCCAGAGGGAAGAACAATACCACGAGGACTGGAGAGTTCACTATAAACACTAGAGGGTACTCCTCACTGACCTCTAGCATTGTCATCCCAACAGTAAGCAACATCGTTGGCTGTAATGAATAAGATGACAAATAAATTTGGCACTAAATAGTACATGTACATGTACTTACCAGTAATAGCTGCAGTGTGACCATAACTACAACTCACATCCTCCAGAGGTTGCTCACTAAAGAGAGAAAGAGAAAAAAGAGAGTAAAAGGACATAATTATTATGAGGGAGAAGGAATTCTTGACTGACTTAAATCCATTAACAGGAGTAGGACTCAACAGTGACTTTTGTTCATCTTGTCCCAGCTGGCTTCTTGCTCCCCAGCCCCACATAAACAATACGGCATCCTCTACAGAATTTAAACAATAAACCACACCCACTCACCCACCCATACCATCCATAGAAGCAGAATGATATCGGCCACAGGATACTTTACAAATGGAGCTAGACCAGGTTGGCCACCATTGTGGGCTTGGTTATAGCTTCATCGTGTCCTCGGCCTTAACTCTTCAAATTTATTAATACCAAAAGAATAGACTCTTCCTTCTTCATCAATAACTAGTATATGACCTGCCACAAGCAACCTGGACTATCCTAGTACCATATAAGGCATTAACAAAGTGAAATAGCAATGGTAGTAGATTAACATTAATAAACAAAGATAATAACACATACAGTATGCATTAGGTAACTGTATACTCTCTCCTTCCCTTTACCTGATATAACTGCTCAATGATTCTCATAGCAGGCCACATGAACCACATTAACATCTCTCAGTGGTCTATCAATCATTAATGGAGAGTACCTGTCTCTAAAGTTACCATGACCAAGACAAGCTTGAGGACTTGTGCCCCACGAAAAAACTTGACCCTTACCTAAAAAGGAACACATTAATAGTAAAAATTCCCAATACATGTACATGTACACATGTACGCTGCATTCTGTAATGCTGTTTCCTTACTGTTAAGTGCTATTGCGTGTGATCCTTCACAGGCTATCATTGTGATATCATGACCAAGCAGTGACTCAACAACAATTGGTAAAAACCTCGGTTAGTCGTCTTTATGTCTGAGAATTGGAAAGGATATGAATTTCATTAATTTTATATACTGTATCTGTCCACACATCATAATTGGCTGCCATTTCAGTTGGCAAGTTTGTTATGGAAGTCAATGGATACATGACGAAAAAGCTTCCCTTACCTGCTGTAGCTCTATCAATAGCTAAAAAGTGCTTGCTATAAGAAAGAACAGCTGTCTTTGAGCTTCTCCTGAGAAGTATTTGGTCAAATTTACTCCAGAATCCTTAATACAGGTTTGTCTTTATGTCGGCCTGTTTGTTCTCCATTGAAAGTTGCCAACCAAAATGGCAGCCGGAAGTTATTTCATCCAAAACCACGCCTTACAACCCTAAAAATTTCTAATGATCAACAATTTTCACTTCCAGTGGTTTATAACAGCACTTACTCTATGTTACGCTAGATCTAGTTACTTCTAAATCCCAATTTAAATTGGCCAGAAATTACTCCACCCTATTTTTTACATTTTCTGATATATATTAATCAACTTATGCTATGAAGCAAACTTCTGATTTAAATTTGCCTAAGTAAATACCCACCACATCAATGAAACCAAGCCCTTAAAATAAATTTATTTGAAAAAGTACTTATAAATATTTCACACTAGCCTAGGCATGATAAATGATACCTTTAAATCCAACAAATGATGCACCAAATCCACAGCTTGTAGAGTATTTTCCACCAGTTTTTTAGGACAAAAGTATCCTTTCCCTTCCTTACCCCATGGCCCAACTACAGAACACGTGACTACACGCGCTTAAGACCACGCCTCTACCACGCCTGTATTAGGCGTGGTTTTTACACGTGTAATCACGTGTCCAATTCTCTCCCTCTCCCTCTATCTCTCTCCCTCTCTCCTGTGTCTCCTCCCCCACATTAGAGGGTTGCCACTTGTTGATTTTTTTATTTTCATCCTGTCCTATCAAAGAATGTACACATGTAAGTATTGAAAAAAAAGTTTGTGTCAGGCTTTTGTACTATAAGCAATTACACAATGGATTCAGTGCAATATTTGTTACATGTACATGCATATAATTCATTTTATAGAATTTGAGAATTGTGTACACATAGCTTAAGGTTTGTCCACTTTAAATTGTAGTAGAGCACAAGGAATGTAGCAATACAATTTATTAAAATTAGCCAGGTAGGGCCTGACTCAGGCCCCACCTGACTATTCTTCGCCCATGCTAATTGCTGGTGAGGCCAGTAATTAAGTCATTAAAATTTACAGATTAATTTTTTCTGATTTTTGATGGTCATTGTAAAAGTATTAGTTGGTAGAAGCAATATTGTACATGTATTCTGGTGGTGCTTTGTATTTGTAGTTTTTGTGGCTTTGGGGCGTACCATGATATTAAAACCATAAATTGCAAGTAACCAAGCAAATATTAGACCCAGTAAATAATCCACTATAATGATACTAGACAAAATTTCAATTCCTGTCACCATCTGCTGGTTTATGATACTGCATGGGTTATCATTTCTTGATTGAATTTTTGATTTTAATTCATTGAAAATAGACAATTATTGTTGTGTGCAGGAGTCTGTTATAGACTCCTGCCATGTGATAATCATAGCCTAGATAGTGAGGACTGTAGTGTATTGTCTTTTATTCTTTTTGTAGCTATCAAATAGATGTGAAATTCCTGTTGAGTATGTCCATTGCACAGAGGTTAGTTCTTGGTAATATACATGTATGTAATGCTAAAGGCTTAGGCACTGCCTTTTTTAGTGGGAGTGGGACATATTGTTTCCAGCCCAGATATTTATGTCTTGATATGGAAAATAAGTGAAATGGACTTCCTTTGCTTCATTTTGTCAAACTCCTTCACTATTTCCATTGTACAATGAAAAAAGTAGTCTCATGTAGCCAGACCCTGCCCTTCATCATGGATGCAGAATCTGGCTAGCAAGAAAAATTCCTCACTAATAAATCATCTTTTATGGCATCCATACCTATAGATAATTAAACATTAACAAACTAGTGAATTTTACATACACATGTAGACTTACAGTATTCTCTAATTTTAGTTATACACACTTACATGTGTGCAGTGTTTCCCACAAAGCATGCTAAGTGAGCTAAACAGCATACTTTATGAGATGAAAAGCACTGTGATTAATAACATGGCCTTTGAGCAAGTTTTAAAATTCATTAAAAAATCCATTTTTGATCAGAATCAGCTCAAACTTCTACACAACATAAGTACATGTATATTCATCAGAAAAAATTATAAAAAGGAAGAACTCTCTCTTAGTCATTTTTGATAAAATTTGGCCAACGTTCCTGTACTATAACATGGTTTTTAGCCCGATTATTGAGCAAATTAAAAATTCATAAAAATCCAATTTTGATCAAAATCAGCTCAAACTTTCGACACAACATAAAGTACATGTATCAGAAATAATTAAATTGAGTACTCTTTTCTTTGTGATGATACCTTGTACTATAGTACATGTATACCAAATTTTTGAGCAATCTGCATGTTCATACATTATACCTCAATTAAAGTACCTTATTGTGACATGTGGGATTGTTTCCAAAATCCAAATATTCTAAAAGTTGGTGTAACTACTGTATGTTCAAAAAAATGGTAGTAGTGTCAATGTATGAGATGAGACAGAGACACTATCTTCAGGGAGAAGGTGTAAATGATACATTTAGCGTTGCTGATGTAGTAAAAACCATCTAAGGAAATCTTTTACATTAGATCCTTGTTTTATTTAAAGATAATAGAGAGAAAATGAAAGAGTTAACAGATAAAGAGAGATCAGAAATACAAGAGGCAGAGGAAGCAAGGTCAGTCTATCACAAGTTTTATCATGACATGACAGCGTGTTAATGATATTCCTTGCCCCATGAAAAAGGTCTATGTACATGTAGGAGCATGAAATACCCACCTTATAGTAATTTTTGCCTGTTAACACTATCTAATACATGTAGGTATTATTGCTATTTTTAGAATAATCAATTGCAACGACTCCATGCATTTTTATGATTGCCTGAGCAAGGTAATAAATTTAACTTAGCCACCAAATCATCAGTCAATTTGAAAAAAATTGCATGCACATGAGCTCCTTATATTATGTATAATTTAATTATTATAATACACTCATTTGTTATTGTTTTAGGTCGGAGAGAATAATTATGAAATGCAAATCGATATATTGGGACTAACTGATATGGATTATGTGTACTCATTTTTTTATTATTATTTTTATTAGTGTCCTACACATTATAATAATTATTATGTTATCTGGTTAGATTTGAAGGATACCCTTAGTAAGAGTGACATTTTTATTGTTGTCCTACACATTGTAATAATTATGTTATGTGGTTGAGTTCAATTTCCGGTTGAAATTACAATGCTAATGGAGGGGATTGAGGAGAATAGCTCCTGTTTTAGTTTATGTGTTCAAGCTTGTAAGGATGGCAGTCTGGAAGACTTGAAGGATGCCCTTAGTAAGTGTGACAATCAGAAAATCAATCCGTTTAAAGAAAGGTCGCCCCGAGGCTCTCTGTTTCACATTGCTTCGATGAATCGTGAATGTCCACTGGAAATACTTGAAGAATTGATCACTGTGTTTCGTAAATTATCAAAGAAGTCGAGTAAGAAGGGCTCAGGCCTCATTGCTTTTCTCCGTGACTCTTTAACACCAGAAGAAGGCTACACAGCACTTCACTGTGCCTGTAAGTACAATAAGTTGAATTATGTATACGTATTTGTTAAAGAATTGCGGTTTTATGGCATTGGTCACACTGCTGTTTCACGTCATACACCATTTGAAGTTTGTTGTCAATTTAAATGTCAGAGGGTGGCTTCGTTTATATTACAGAACTGTAAGGGTTTGTATGATGATTTCAGTAATGGTTTAGTAATTGCATTTGGTAATGGTAGTGTGAGTCATAAAGAGTTCATAAAAGAAGTTTGTAAAGTTCATAAAGTTACAACACAAACTCTTGATTCGTTGTGTAGAAAAAAGTTGTTTAACATTGTTAAGTTTTGTATCGAAGAAAAACTTTGCAAGCAAGAAGGTAAGCAGCTCATGCAAATGGCTGTGTCACAAGGACAAACAAACCTTATGAAGTATCATTTACATGTAGATAATTATCATGAGATTTATACTGTACCGGATAAAAGTGGCAATAATCTAATGCACATAGCCTGCTCTGAACACCAGCTTGATAGCATTCATTGTTTAATAGCTAGTGGTTATGCTGAAATGGCTTTAGCAAAAAACAAAAACAGGGAAACCCCTTTTGATATTGCCGTATACAAACACTTTGAAGATATTACGTTGCTATTTGAGAAGGAATTAAAATTAACACCACTCCACTTATATTGTCTTAGGGACCCTGCAATATCTGAAGACAAAGAAATCATTGAAGTTTTAAAAACAATAATAGCTTCTACGGTGCAAGATGCTTATCTCAATAGTGCATTGCGTTATGCTTGTCAAAATGCACATCTTTTTATTGTTAATAATCTTTTGCTTGTGTTTGAGTCAGAAATAGATTTATCAGAGCCTAACTCTAATGGTGATACACCTGTACACTTGCTTGTTCAACAACTTTGTTTGATTTCTAAAAAAATTAAAGCCAATGAAGAATCCAATGAAGCATTAAAGAAGCGTTCCAGAAAAAAAAGATTACAAAGACAAGAAGAAAAGATAGTCTTTCTTTTATCAGTAATGATGGAACATGAAACATTTGATCCCACAATATTAAATGCTCAGAATGAAAGTGCTGTCTTCATTTTTCTGACTAAATTAAGCTATGAGACATTCTCATATTATGACATTCTTCGTGCATTTCTTAAACAGGCTGTCACTAAGTATCACAAAACTAACGCTTTGAGTAAGGATATACTTAATATGGTGCATCACTATTGCCGTTATATTTATTATGTCCCTAAAAAGGGTTCTGGAGAGTATGATATTAACTCAGGAAGATTCATTAATTTTGTTCAGACATTATCATCTGAAAACAACAATTTTAATCCAAATGAAGTTGATTCTGAAGGTAATGCATGTTTACATTATGCTGCCTGTAACTTGTGCATTCCGCTTGTGGAGTATTTCCTTACTTTTTCTGACCTTAGTATAAATAAGGTAAATTATCTCAATAAGTCTCCATTACAAAGCATGCAGCTATCTTATAAAATCTCAAAACTAGTAGTCTTTTGTAAAATTTATTCATTACTCATGGACAAAGGGGCAAGTGTAGACAATATACATTTACCAATTGATACAAAAGAAGGTAACACTCTACTTCATTTGGCATGTATTGCAAAGTCTTCTTTCCTCCTTAAGTCATTAACCAGCAGAGCTTCAATTGAAAGCATGGTTAATAAGCAAAACAAAAAAGGTAAAGCTCCAATTCATTTGTTGTGCTCTAATGCCAGAAAGTTTGTTAGTGTCGAATGTTTTAGAATATTACTTAATCTTCCGGGCATTGATGTTAATCTTCCTAATCGATCTGGTAACACTCCACTTAGCATTTTAACTTCTCACATTAATAGTCGAAGGCCAATTATGTATGAGGGCATAAAAGAGTCAATTCTTCTACTAACAGAGCATAGCTCCTTCAAGCCTGAACTCTATTTAACATCTGATTATTTACAAATTTGGTGCCAAGTCGATAAAGAAGATCTTTTTAGACAAATTTTTGAAATTGACAAGCACAGATATCTACTAAACTTTGTGAATTACTTCAGCCAAAATTTGCTTCACATTGCTTGCTTGAACTTTAGTTCACATGTAATTTTATTTTTAACAATGTGTTCAAATTCATCTGTACTTTTTTTACAGAAAGATTATTTTGAGAATACGCCATTAGCTTCCCTTTGTTGGAGAGTTTTTTCACCAGCTAAGTCATTTGTTTCATATCAAGAGGACATTGTACTTCAGAGTCTCGATTTCCTAATCAAGCATGAATCTATTACCTGTATTATTGATGAGCTAGAAATTTTGTTATACTGCTTACATACTTTGTCCAGTTTTTCAATTAAGTGGTTAGCAGAGAAGATGATTGTAGTATTGTTAAATGTTGTCATAGTTAATGACAATGGCATTAGAAATTGCCTAGCATCTGTTCCATTTGATTCATTACTTGCTGAATTTAAATATAAAGAGACAACAGAACCTGTACTAAAGGATATACTAACAATTGCAAATTGTACTCCTGTTCAAAGTTTATTGTCTAAAAGTATTTATCAAAGGAAAGGTTTATTATTTTTTTGTTTAAATGGGAATTCATTACTACATCTTGCTTGCAAATTATTAAATAAAGATGCTGTTTCTACTTTAATATCTGAATCTATAGTGTTGCCAGAGGAAGTTAATGATGATGGGCAAACTTGTTTACATGTAATGATAGAAGAGCAGAATATTTCATATTCATCAACTCCTTCGAAGTGTTTCTTTGAAATTTTTGATCTTTTAAAATCTAAGAACTTGTTTCATGTTGAAGATGTCAATGGCAATACATGTCTACATTTAGCCTGTAACAACAAAGCCTTGTCTACACTAATTAGAGAAATTGTTTATGCCAATCCAAGATTAGTTACAATAAAAAATAATGAAGGCAATACCCCTCTCCATATTGCCTGTAATTCTGGTCAGTTAGAGGCTATTGACATATTACTTCAGCAAAAACACATCAACCTCCGCAGTGTGAATGCTAAGCAACAGACTGTCTTTCACATTTCCATTTGTAAAAAAAAAATTATTGATTTGCTTAAGACGCATTTATCTTATCAAGATAATATATTGTGTATGAGAGATGCTGACAATTGCACTTGCTTGCATCTCGCCTATGAAATTCACAGTAATGTTTTTTTAACTTCTCTAGTTCCTCCCTGTACAATTTTAGACATGAGTTTGATAGCTGATATTGTTAATATTAAGAACTCAAAAGGACAAACAATGCTGCACATATGCCCAGAACTCATTTTGAACACTAAAATTACTAAGCTAGATGTAGCTGCAGTTGACAATGATGGTGACACTCCTTTACTAAATTTTATGATAATGCTATGCCTGGCTAACAATAGTGATAGCAATTTCTTTTTTAAAGAGTCACTATTACCTGACTATGACCAATGTAGTCCTAATTGTCATTCAGAGATGTGGGAGCAAGTGATTAAAATACCAACTTTTGAAATGTCAATCAACCATAAAAGCAATCATCAATTTACTTTGTTGCACTTAGCATGCACACACTTTAATGAGGATTTGATCTTAAAAGAAAAAATAATAAACTCAATACTTTGTTTTCCAAATTGCAAGACTAATATTGTTAATAAGGGGCATTCGACTCCTTTTCATATTCTGGCAAAATTAAATCCCAGAATGTTTGATAAATTTTGTAAAAATAAAACAATTGACTTGAATGTTGTTGACACTAATGGTAATACACCACTACATGTTCTTCGTTATTCACAATATGCAGCATTTTTGGATCTCGTGAATAATGATGACAATAGCAGCAACTCATATGGATTAGCTAATCTTTTCATTTCTAATATAGCAGGAAATACAGCACTTCATACAGCTTGCATGTACAATTGTGCCTATTATGTTCATATTTTTTCTAAGTTGATGTCAAATGTCAATATACAAAATAAAAATGGTGAAACCCCATTTCATTGTCTTTATAAAAGTAGTGATGATGAGGCTACAGACAAGGCTGCACTTTTATTTAATAAGTGTTGGGAAATTTTAGTAAATCATGTTTCTTTTGATCCAAACATTCAAGACGCCTGTGGTATGACAATCTTGCACTATGAGTGTCAAAAGTCAAAACCAGATTTTGTCCTCGTAAAGCGTCTGTTAAGTCTTAATGCTACCAATACCAAGTTAAGGAACAATCAGAATCAGACTTGCATTTTAGTGGCAGAAGCCAGTAGCTGCAAAGAAAAATCTTATTTATTGAGTTTATTAAAAACTCACAGGTCAGATAATGATTTTCTGGCATTTTCACACTTAATGAGCCCATATCATGGTTTATATGATTTTCATAAAAGGTGCAACTGTTGTTTAATGCTACACGCTATGTCTTTAAATAATGAGAAATGCAAAGATGCTCTTTACTTGGCATGTGAAGCAGTGTGTCCTGAAAGTATTAGCAAATTACTCCTTCGTTGCAGAAATAAATTAATATGTAATTATATTAAACAACAATCTGGACAAACTCCTTTACATTCTCTGGCTTTAGGATTAAAAAAGCAAGCTGATTTTATAATTCAAGGTTACAGTGATAATTTATTGAAGCTTAGACAGAAAGATCTCTCTTTTGTGAGAGGAAAAGTGAATATTTTAAGCAAACATGATTGGCGCATCTTGCTGCAGTGTGGTATTAACAAACAAGATGACCTAGGAAATACAGCACTTCACTATGTTTGTGAAGCTCAAAATGTGACAATGTTGAGAGTTTTAACTTCAGATAGTTCTTGCAGGTTTGACATTCGTAACAATGCTGAAAAGCTACCAATTACAATTGCATATGAGTCTGGAAATAGAAGTTTCTACCTACGATTTCTAATCAAATACTTCAGAAGTCAAGGTATAATTTCCACTTTTATGTTATGTGCAAAACGTGACATTTTTTGTTTCTCTGTAGGTGATGAAGGTTTTGCTGACTATTACAAGACAGTACTTAAAGATGGGGCTACAATTTCCATGACACCTGTGAAATGCATTTTGACAGGGCCACCAGGAGCAGGTAAGACAACACTTAAACAGAGATTATTAGGAGAAAAGCTTGCAAGTACTATCAGTACTGGTGTTTCTGACTCTCCTCAAGTTATAGCTGTTCGTAATATCTCACATGAGCAGGTTTCATTACCTTCTAGTGAGATGAAATGGACACCGGTGGATATTCGAGATCAAATCGAAGCCCTTCTTGAAACAGTGTCATTACATGCTCATAATGCCATCAAAGAAACCTTAGGTAGACCACCTGTTTTGCCACCTTCTACAAGATATGGAATCTCAAAAAATGCTAAATCTTCAAAGGACACTAATTATAATGATACTGGCAATAGTTCAAAAAAATTTAAATCAGGCTTTAATGAGTGGCATGAGAAGCAAGGAAAAGGTAAACCAAAAAAATTTAAAAGCATTGAAAAACAGTTAAAAGAGCTTAGAATTTTAGCAAATTCAGTACCTTCTAAAAAATCAAAAAGTGATCAACACAAGTTTACTATTAGAGAACTTGAGAAAAATCCTTTTGTTCGAGTCATTGATACTGGAGGTCAACCTGAGCTTCATGAGCTATTACCAGCTTTTGTTAATGGTCCAGCCATTAATTTAATTGTTTTTGATTTGCAAATCCCCCTGCAAGACCAAATTCCTATTTATTGTCGGTCAGAAGATGAGGGTGATTCTGTTGTATATTCATCATGTATTAACCACGAAGACATGATATTGCGCTCATTGTCTAGCATAGCTTGCCTTGGTTATGGCCAGCAAATGAATTTTAATGAGGATGGTGTTTCACATTCATCCACATATCCAGCTGCATTTCTTATTGGTTCCCACAAAGACATGGTTAAAGAGGAAGTGATTAAACTTGTAAATGAGCATTTAATGTCATTGATTAAGACATGTGACCTGGATGTCCATGAAATAATTCAACGCTATGAAAATTGCTTATTTTATCCAATTAATGGCCTTGATGAGTCATCAAAAGAAATAGATAAACTGAGGCAAGAAATCTTTAATGCTACTAAACAGTTCAAATCTGTAGAGGTACCAATGACATGGTTGATACTTAGCATTAAACTTCAAGTTTTGTATGAAAAAAAAGAAATAAATTGTGTCATTGATATTGAAAAATGCTTTAAAATAGCAAATATAGAATGTGGTTTTAAAAGCATTGATGAAATGAAGAATGCTCTATGGTTTTACCACTATGTTATGGGTACCATCATGTATTTTCCATATATTCCTGAGCTGAATGAAAAAGTCATTCTAGACTTGCAAGCTATTTTTGACTGTGTAACAAAGCTGATTAATTGCTGTTTTGTTTATGGAACAGTCAGTGAGCGTACAGAAGAGGAATTTACTAAATTTGGCACTTTTTTCGTAAGACATTTGGAAAAAGTTCTAAACAGTAAAGATAATAAATCCAAATATCCTTTTTCAGCTCGAGAAATAATTGCCTTATTGAAGCATTTACATGCTATAGTTGCTATTGATGATGACAAATACTTCATGCCTACAGCTCTGAAACCAGTGCTTCTTTCTGAGGCTCATCAAGACGCAACCTCCTGCCCTCCTCCTCTTCTTATTAGCTTTGCATGTGGTTATACTCCAGTTGGAATTTTCGGTAGCTTAGTAACTCATCTTCTTTCTAATGCTAAGCATAATATTGAATGTAAATTAGCTGATGATACTCGGCAATATCGCAATAAAATAGTCCTTTCTTGTGGTTCTTATCATGCTGATTTAATATTGATGGCATGGTCAAGATTTATAGAGATTAATTTTAAGAGAAAGGGTGATTTGCATGAATCAATAGCAGATGTATGTCAAAAGGTGCGACTTGCTATTGATGAAAGCATTGAAGTTATATCAAAATCATTTAATTACAAGTGCAAGGCTAAGCATTCATTTGGTTTTCCATGTAACAATCTTGCCTGCAATTCACTGCCTGTGCATCCTGCTATATGTAAAGTGGCAATAAGAAGTGCTGAATGTGTACAGAAAAATAATTTGATTGAGCTCAGTGATTCACAGTTAATCTGGTTTGGAATTCAACAGGTGAGTATACCTTCTGTCAATTCAATTAAAGCTATACTACCATTTTTATAGGAGCAGGTTGTGGAAAATGGTCTAATGGAAGATAGTTTATCTGAAGAAATATTTCAAAAAACATTAGGTATGACCATAATTTTAAGTATATAGGTCTATTTATTTTTATTTTCAGAAATTGATGATTTGGATGATGTTTTTGAAAAACTGGACGATCTTAATGAATGGAAAAAACTAGGTCTGAAGCTTGGCTTGAAGTATCCAACATTAGAAAGAATTGAGAAAGATAAGAGAGTTATTGATGATTGTAAAATGGAAATGTTAGCATGTTGGCTTAAAAAACAAGATAAAGTTAAGTCACCATCTTGGAAGCAGCTGATTATTGTTTTATGTAAAATGAAGGAGACTGAAATTTCCAAAAAGATCATTGAAGAACTTCGTATTTGAGACTACTATTATAGCTGAACTTTAATATTATTATTTACACTTTAGACATGCTTTGTGTGCTTAGATACTAGTAGTCTATATGATTAATTTTTGTTATTTAAAGATGCATGACAGAGCTACACTGTGATCAATTGTTATTATAATGTAAAATTGGACTTAATTGGTTAATTGTAGAGGAACACTGGTGATTAAGCCAGGGTCAATGATGGCGAAGGTGCATGGGTAGATCTACTTGGTGTATAGAAAAGGATCTTCATAGACACTTTCTTTTGAAAAACTGCATAAATTCTTTACTATTTTTATAGCTAAGCATTAAGAACCATTTTTCCACATACTATTCAAATATAGACTATTATTAATTAATCTTTAATTTGACCATTTGACACCCTTTAGCTCTGGCTTTCATCAACATGATCTCCACTATGGAGTGTGGAAGAGAACTTGAGAGGGGATTTGTCTCTTTATGAGTTGAAATATTTAAAAAATAAAGGAGAACCAAGCATTAGTAAGTAGCATCATAGACCCTTCTTTGTATTGCCTAAATTAGCTCAATTGTTCCGAAGGGCACAAAACTGGAGTCACTGACAAGGAGGAAATCTAAAAATGAAGTAACGATTCTTCTCTGAGATTTGCACCACTTCAGTTCAATTGCTATTAAGAAAGCAAATTTTTCTACTCTAGTGTGGGTTTGTGGTCATTTGCTAGAGGAATCATGATATTATATCACTCCTTTTTAGGGACAGTTATCCACTTCACCAATTGATTTGTTAGTTAGTACTTAGTACATGTATTAGACAAAAAAGTAAATGGTAAGTTATTAATATTGTTATGGATTTAATTAAAATTAGGTATTTTAGCATTAATGAAAGAGCATGCATCTTAGAGAACCTCAGGGGGAGCCTTAGATAGAGCAAGTTATGTTGACCATTACACAGGACCTAACCAGATCAAGAATAATCATCAGTCTGAGTCACTAATTCGAGCAATAAGCCGACGGAAAACTGAATCTAATAAAGTGGACCATGATCCATTGAGTAGAATTAAAGCAATTGAAGTGAAGATAGTGAACAAGATGATGGGCCAAAAACAACAAAGAGCTTTAGTCATACAACAGAAGACCCATTGACAAGAGATACTAGTATACCTAGTAGAGAGAAACCAACACAAAATAACCAATAACAGTTGTACCACAATAACATAATAATTATAATCAATGAAAGAACTTACTAAATTGCATTATGTATAATACACATTACTATGAATTATTATCATTTAGGTATTGATGAAAAATTAAATATTTGCAGTTGATAAAAACATAGTAACAGATAACATTATGCAAAGCAATATGTTTAGTGTTAGTTACTTGAATTGAATGTCAAGAGGATAAATAATAGTTAAATCTTGACTTTCGTCTATTCTCGTCAATATTTTTTGCATCAGTGGAGGCAATGAAGTGAACAGTGCTGAAGACTGCAATCCTTCTATCTTCTTTAAATGTGCAAGGCATAGCTCATGTAGTGGCTGAACTGAACTTGGAGTTAAGAAAAAAGTTATTTTGATAAAAATATTAAAATTAATAGTTTAAATATAAAATAGAGAATGCACCAATATAGCTTTTTTGTTGATATTACAATAACTGAAATTATCATAGCCAATACTAGCCGATACTAATAACAAATTTGATGTTGTCATTCCACCTTTTTAGCCTTAGGCAGAGGTCTATGCTTGTACAACTTAATCTATACATTTGTGAACTTTGTATCCTCACTAATTAACTTCTGGAGATCACAAATTTATCCTGGAAAATTATCAAATTTTTTTTCATAAAATTTGTCAGAATATAATTAATTTTTCTAATTTTCCATGAAATTTTTAATTCTTTGCAGGAAAAATTTTTTGGGAAGTTTCCCAGAAAATTTACCAAGAAATTATTAATTTTTCTAGGGAACACTAATTTACCAGGAAACGATTAATTTTTTCTAGGAAATATTAATTTTCTGGGAATTTTCTTCCCTGGAATCATTAATTTAAATGATTAACCCTTTAATCTCATACACATGACCATGTATTGCAATATTGGCAAGATCAATGCAAAAACCAAAAATCAATACTATAGAAACAGGCCAATAGCTGACCCAATTATCCATGCAATGCATCTTTAAAATATACATGCAATGATGCAATAAAGCTTAATGTATGAAGCAGTACATGCACATAAGAGGTACAAATTAAGCCACAATAAAAAAAGACTGAAGGTACATGTCAGACTAAAATTTAAAGCTTTAGGCTCTCTAACTTTACATGAGATGAAGTCTGTGCATCCATACTTTTAGGTATTATTTACTCTTGATATTACAATTCCGATATACATAAATTAAAATGTACCAATATGTGCATTTGACTTGTAGACTGATTTTAACCAAAATTGGATTTTAATGAATGTTTAAAGTTGCTCAAAATGTTGCCAAAGTCCCTGTACTATAGTGCAAGATATTCAGGATTTTACACAGGATTTTGGCATAGTGCTCATGCAGTTTCTATTGTTGCTCTGTACTATAAGTACATTCATCAAAAATGGCTACAAGAGAATTCACCATCTTTATAATTTTTCTGATACATATCCTTATGTTGTGTATCGACATTGAGCTGATTCTGATCAAATTGAATTTTTAGTGCATTTTTAAATTTGCTCAAAAAATCAGGCCAACACCCAAATTTCGTCAAAAAGAGCTACAAAAAATTATTCATTTTAATAATTAAAAAAATACATGTCTTTGTCCTTATGTACATGTCCAGGATGTCCTTATGTTGTGCATCAACTTTGAGCTGATTTCAATCAAAATTAGATTTTTTAATGAATTTTAAATTTCATCAAAAATTGGGCCACCCAAAGGCTATCCTTTGGTCTTATTGTCAAAAATGGCTTCGTGAGAATTCATATTTTTTTTGATTTACATCCATATCTTTATCCTGTGTATCAACTTAGAGCTGATTCCAATCAAATTTTAAATTTTTATAAAATTTTAAATTTGCTCAAAAATTCAGCCAACACCCAAATTTCAACAAAAATGGCTACAAAAAATTCTCTATTTTGATATTCTTTCCTAATACATATACATCTCCTTATGTTGTGTATTAACTTTAAGCTGATTTTGATCAAATTAAGATTTCTATGCTCAAAAATCGGGCCAATGATAACCTTTGGTCTCTAACCAAGTTTCGTCAAAATGGCTGTGTGAGAATTCTCCATTTAAAATTTTTTTCTCATAAACATACATGTACATGACCTTATGTTGTGCATCAACTTTGAGCTGATTCTGATCAAATTTAGATTTTTACAAATTTGTAGCTCAAAATTGGGCCAACACCCAAAGGTCATGGCTACGAAAGAATTCTCCATTATTATCATTTTCCCTGATACACATGCATGCACATGCCCTTATGTTATGTAAAAAAATTTTGAAGTTGCTCTAAATGCAATTGATGAACTGTATCATTTATAGTATTTATCAGCTTATGAAGCATCATTTAGCATGCTTTGTGAAAAACTCTGAAGGTATTGTCCATTCTCCATTTTTTGACACACATTTTTATGTTACATGTACGTACAAAGTTTATGCTGACTACAATTAAAAGTGAATTTTTATAAGTTTTAGAAAAGTTGGCCATTCATACTACCTGTATAGTACAGAATATTTTTCAAAAATTGGCTAGGATTTTTATCTACATTTTCTGATGCATGATGTACATTTCTACATCTTCTTACATGCAGATGTATGCTATATATGTAAAAAGTTTGAGCTGATTCTGATAAAATGGAATTCATAGCAGAGTTTCCTTTGGCCATATGGGCAATTCTTTGGAATGTGCCTAATTATACACATGCAGTAAAGTTAAATTAATGAAATTTGGGGGACCACCAGAATAAACAGTAAAACTTACATAATGCATGTACATGTACAATGCAAAATTTAAGTCATAGAGAGTGTAGGCTGTACAATGTACATGTACATATATATGCAGTACATGTATGCTAAAACTAGCCAATTAATGCAGCAGCTGTAACTGAAGTAAACAGTTCTCGTATAGTGGGAAATTTTGGGGAGAATTAAATTTAGCAAACTTGGCGTTTTGATAGCCATTTGCCAAAATAAAATCTGCCATTTTGAGCCATTATACGCAGCTCGATGGCATGTGGCCACTAATTTGCCAAATTAAAATTCGCCAATCACCAAAATTAATTTGCCAAATTTAACTCCCTCCAAAATTTCCCGCTATACGGTATTATACAAAGAATAAGATAGATTAGAATCAGACACTGTAGATTATAGGTACACAGAACTAACTAACCAGAAGCCACACATATGAATGATTAATAAACTAACATGTATTCATAGTGGAAATAATTGATAGCAATCATTTATTAGTGCATACACTATTACTGGTAATTACATGTACATTATACACAGAGTTAAACTGTCTACTCTCAACACAGTATACATTTAAATATCTCATTTCAACCCAACCAAAAAATTTATAAAATTACTTAACAGTAATCAGTACATGCAGATTTTACATACATGTAGTAAAACAAAAAAGAGTAGATTGCACTGTATTCTGGCATTGGAAAAAGGAGCTATAGTATAGGCAAAATTGTTATACATACTACTCCAGTGCTCCTCTGTACTAAAAGTTTCTAGCTGTTATGCTCTGAAATTCATGCACCAAAAAAAATAGAACATTACATTAAGTCTAACCAAATCAAATGATGATTGGAGATGTTATAACGTTCCTGTGATACTTTGATTCTCGTCTTTTGTTTCCACCAAATATGATAACGTCAGTCTGAGAGTCTTGAATGTGATAACTGCATGACATGTGATACATCCTTGACTTCAAATCATCCGGCAGCAAAAACTATCAAAATTAAATAGACTAGTAATAAAATCTATGTACAATGCAATATGATTCAAAATACAAACTACATGCATTTGCATCAATGCTAGTTAAGTTATGGTTAAATATATGGCACTTATGGGCATCATAAAACTATTGTGAAAACCATTATTGATCAAGTCCAATCTGGTCATAAATTCAAATTATGAGTATTTGACTGAATAATACTATAAAAGCCCATAATTAAATTATACACAATTTATAGTGAGACTCTATTAAAAATTCTAAATACATGCAGTATCAGAGTCCCACAAAACATGCTAAGTGAGTTAAACAGTATGCTTTATGAGCTGACAAGTACTACAATAGTAGCACATTACAATAGTACATGGAATTTAATTGCTAGTTTACAAGCATTAGTATAACATACCAGTGACAGGCTGTTGAGGTCATTTTGATTAGGTGTAATCCCCATGCATTATAATCCTATTAATCATTATAATATGTAGGTAGTATAAATTTTTACTTTTTCTCAAGCTTCAATATACCAGTATGCACAGGCCCAGTATCATCAGTGAGTAAGTTCCTGTAATTAAATGATAATTAACAGAAAATACACTTATTGCATAGCTGATTTAAAACTCATGCATTACCATAATGAACATTATTGTTATCACCCACAAAAATAAACACGTTTGACAGGTTCGAATGCTGATTGAGTTCTCTTATTAAGTGACCTTGTCGTCCAGATGGCCAGGTAATCAGTGGATGCGTCCAGCATATGTCATAAGGTGTAAGGTGACTGGAGGTATAAGACACAAGAAAGTGAGAGAAGTAAGGATAAATGGAATTGGAAGCCGCTTCAGAGCTTACTGCCACTATAATATTATAGTAATGAATAAATATTATACACATGCATCAATTGCTTAGTCTTACTGTTATCATCGGGAGCCCATAAAAGAATTGATGAGGTATTGTTTGGAACTGCTCTTGGCCTATACCTCACATGACATAGATGTATCACTGCTCCCTGCAATTAAATATAAATAGCAACAATAAAAAAGCAATATCAATGTCAGTATCATATCAATATCAATATCAGAATCAATATCAGTATCAGTATCAACTTACAGAATCAGTTCCAATCAAGTGTATTGAGATCGATCAGCTTTACTGACAATCAAACCTGTTGCTACTAGATGAACTATTTCTGAACCAAACCTATAATATGTACATGTATATTAATCATTAGGACTACCTGATGAATCTCCTTCAGGTAATTCAACTATCACCCAAACACACACACAACCACTGGCATCAAGGGATAACAACTGGAATGATAATCCTTGAACTAGAAATATAAGTACACAATTGTAAATGGCTTACTATATTTACTACTATTACATGTATATACATGTATTGTAGGTTTGCAATGGCATGGTAAGGACATCTTACCATGCCAATCATTGACTGTACTGTACTGTGTTGCTCCACTTCTTTCTACATGTATAACTGGTTGACCTTCATTATCAGTACTGCAGCTGCTATATAATAAAAGAAAGACACAATATTCCATCAACTAACAAGATCATATATGCACATGCTTATTGCCTCAAACTTTTATTACATTTTCTCATTTTTCTGATACATATTGATGTCCTTATGCAATACTGAAAGTTTGAGATGATTCCAACAAGTAATTTTGAGTTATGAGCTTTTTTAAAAACTTTATGCACGGACTACATATGTATAGTACAGTATTGCTGGCTCTAAAGTTATCCCTAAATTTTTAAAGAGAGAAAAGGAGAGAGTCCATTACCAGTGGTGTATGTTGGTGCTCTGATGATAGTGTCCCTATTAGTATCAGTCAGTTAGTGTTGTCTATGCAATGGTGCTGGCTCCCTTAAATCCCATAACACAATAGTACCATCATCCTAACAATACAATATGAACACTGCTTATAATGTACATATACTTACATTGCCAGCAAACACGAGTGGAAACAATACACAAATACATGTACTACTAGGAGCAGGCTGATCACCTAAACACTAATTAGAGTATATAATTACAGGGGCTATTCCTTGCATCTCATACTATTAGGATGCTTCTGTATCCTTGAAAGGTGTGCTATCTCCAGAAGACCATTCCAATCCTCTTTATTACACATTGATCCTGTTACTAGTATACCAGTATCAGAGAGAGAGAGAGGAGCTTACATCAATGCACTTGATGTCACCATTGATACTCAGTGACGACTCTAAAGTACTAGCATCATACAGCTCATCGTCTTCTAAAAGAACATCACAAATCTTCACAAAAGAGAAAGTAATTTTTATTCATTTTTCTCCCTCTCCCTCTAATGTCATTCTTACTTGACTTGTGTCGTATACTGCATAAGAATCATCATCCCCCTTGCTCCTTCATCTTCATACCTACCTACATTATCAAAACATAATAAACCACTACATGCACATATATGTACATTGTATCTATTCCGTGTACTAATATATCATTGCTGAATCAGTACAATCAAGAAGCTATTGCAATTCACACTATAAACAGTCCTTTACTGACTAATTGACAGTCACTCACCATATCCCTTCATGTCATGAGGTGGCCATTGTGTCCAGCAGTCTTTACTAGTAACATCTTCTGTTTGTGTCTCCTCTTCAATCAAATCCTGACCTGTCTGTGTACCTGACTAGTATTTGCTTGTCCAAAGCTCCTCATACATCCCATACTCAGTCAATGGTTGTAGTTCAAATAGGTTAATGCTTAATGTGTCTTTCTCTATCATGTTGCTCAGTTCAGCTCCTCTTGTCTTTATGCTTGTCTCCTTTAGTTTCTGTGTTGCTCCTGAGAATGTCATAGAACGACGAGGGGAGAGGCACTCTAAGCAGTGGCACTCAAATTTAATGCTATTTTAACTAAAAAGGCAACAGAAGGTGAAACATGTGCAAACATAAAGTGAACAATGTAACTCAAGTGAAAGGATAACAGCATACACTTTAAGACACATCATTGAGAGCAACATATCAGAAGATGAATGCCCTATGGATGATCTTGTCAGTTGTGCTAGCAGTATCTACATTGACTGGATCTACTAACAATTACTACAATGGTGAGATACTGACTACTATACTAATGGATAATATATATACCTGTTTGAATTACATACATGTACTATCAACAACAAGAAACTAGTGATAACAAAGGATTATATACAGATTGTTGTAAGTTCATTAATACACTATTAATTTATTATCTACTCACACACACACACACATAAGCTACTTCTCATGATTTTGCTATAATAATTAATATATCATCGAATATAACTGGAAAAACAATTAAACCAGGACAAAGCTATAGTATCCAAGGAAACATAAATTTCAGTAATCAAGATGCATGTATATAAAAGTTATGTCATTTTTCTATCTTTCAGAAAAGAAGTTGCAATGGGGTAGGTATATTACATATAATTATAACACATCAATTCAAAAATTACTTAAATCTTACTTTTTTGGATGCTAAGTATAATCTTTGTGACATGATTGTCTCATTAACTAATGAATACTGTCCATTGAAACCTGGAATATATCATGGAAAATTTGAAGATACAATCCCATCACTTGACTGGCCTGTAAGTAAACAAAATACTTTGTATAATTAAAATTATTAAACATTCTCTTTAAAGGGCAAGTTTCACTTTAAAGCTATTGCTTACAATGAGAATAGTGATGAAATATGTTGTGGAATGATAGAAGTTAACATAAATTGAAACATTTTGATCATTTAAGATTATTATAATTAACTAGCATTATAATTAGGTCAATTTTGCATCAGATTTTAAAATTATCAGTAAAAGCTATATAAGGTAGATACATAAATCAACAATTGTTCAATCATTAAGCACAGTGCCCACCACACAGGTCAATATCTTGCTTATTATCATTACATGTACCACAATGTGTCTTGTCCATGCCCATGCTTAAATAGATTGACTTGTCAAATAATATGTAAGTAACAGTACTATAAAACATGCATGCTATGGGCATATAACTCTCAAAGCTCATCAAAAGTTGTTATGGAAATAAGGACACACCCATAATATAATTATGTTTGATAGGGTACAAGTACCGTGCCAAAAGATACATGTACTAGTTATAAAACCAAAAGAAAGGAGAGCAAATGTTGTGTGAGATGATAGACCTTCATTACTATGCAGTGATTGAATAGCATTAATACGTTCAAATGTGAATAGAGTAGCTTAACTCTCAGCTTAACTATACTATTTTCTTAACTTATATAAGAATGAGTGACAGTAAAATAGTAAAATAGCAATCATCTAATGATTGTAGTCAATTTCTAAATAAAGGATCAAACAAAGTTTGCAATAAGTTCAGTAAATCTTAGAAACTAACATTCTTATGGTGAAAGAGCTTAATCTGATCAACATGGAAGTTGAAAGTTGCTGTAATAACTAATAAAAAATAAACAGACACGTTTAATAAGCTATCAAGCTACAACATTATGTTTGTATTAATAGTGTCATTCAATCAGAGCTGTGTTTATTGCAATCCATTACTAAATTTACTTTTAAAAATTATTATGCTTATTTCCTAGACTTTATTAAAATACAATACATCATAGCAAAAGAAAAGAATAATGCTAGTTTATAATGTGCCCATTGTATTTTATTGCAATAAGTTTTTGAAACACTGCATCAGTCATTGAGCACCAATCTGGCCTAAAAATCTTTCCTGCAATTACACTAAAAAGTCTTTCTACTGGGGCTGAAGCTGGTATTGATAAACCCTGGTCATATGACTTGGCATCAGGCTGACCATGATGGTCCCCAGGGGTAAGGTTTTGTAAAGCTATTTATTCAAAACTGCTGCCTTGCCCTGTACTGGGTTGAGGCTTAATAATGATAAGTCCATGCACCTTAAAACCTTAAGTGACAGCACTGACTGTACATGCATTGGGCTTGCACAAATAGGGAATGAGCAGAGCCAGCAAAACCTAGTTCCTCTACATACCAGTAGTTGGATGCATAACTACATATGACATGAGAGAGGCAGGTAGAGCCTATTTTGTGTGAAGGCCTTTACTTTATGAATAATAATTGCCAGTAAATGTGACCATAATTGACAAAAGGTACCTTATGGCGGGTAGTGAAATTTGTCTTTATAGCCAAAAAAAATCCAACTTCCTGAGCTCCATTTATCATAAAATTACTCTACAGGATGCAAAAAGTTGCTATGTAACTTTTTTTAAAAATGGTTGTCCAACAGAGCACACACAGGTTGATATTTTGCATCAAGTTATAATGATGAATTTTAAAATCTGCCATAAGGTACCTTTTGTCGATGTACAATAGGATTACAGGGATTAGGAAAGTATCTATAGCCCCGTTTACACTACAAACCAGTTTGGATCAAAGCGGTTCAGAAACCAGCTTAATTGTGTCCACACGTAACTGTGGCTGAATCGGTTTACAATGCTACATTGCATACATAATACAGCTGCTTCAGTACTTAAACGGGTTTGATTATCTCAAACCACCTCCTGAGGTGGTTTGAGATAAGTCGGTTTAAACTGCATTGAAATTGTCCACACGTAAACTGATTTATTTCTAAACCGGTTCCAAACCGCTTTAAGGGCATAGTGTAAACAGGGCTTATGTTACACTAGGCACTGGCAGATCCAGAAAAATTAAAAGGGGGATGAATTTCACTTAAGTAGGTGTGGCTCATTAATTTAAATTACAATTTGGGTGTGGATCATCAATTTTAATTAATAAAATGGAGGAAAAGTGCTGCAAAAAACTGCAAGACAAGTTAAACAACTTTTTCTGCCAAAGGGAGAGTTGAATGGAACCTCCCCCTAGGTCTGCCACTGCTAGGTGTTTCTAATCCCAGCTAATGTAAATTGGCCAGAAATTACTCCACCCTACTTTTTACACTTTCTGATATACATTGATCAACTTATGCTATGTAGAAGCTTCTGATTTAAATATGCCTAAGTAAATAGATCTACCAACCACACCAATGAAACCAAGCCCTTAAAATTAATTTATTTGAAAAAGTACTCAACTATTTCACACTAGGCATAATAAATGATACCTTTAAATCCAACAGACGGTGCTCCAAATCTACAGCTTGTAGAGAATTTTCCACCAGTTTTCTGTTTTCAGCAAATTTTAATACAGAGGAAAACAAAATTACCCTTTTCTTTCCTTACCCCCACACGTGACTACACGCGTGCAGTAGTCAAAAGACCACACCTTCACCACGCCTCTATTAGGCGTTGTCTTTCCACGTGCAGTCACGTGTTCAGTTCTCTCTCTTTTTCTCTCTCTCTCCTGTGTCTCCTCCCCTAGATTAAAGGAAGGTTGCCACTTGTTGATTATTTAATTTTCATCCTGTTCTATCAAAGAATGTACACATTTAAGTATTGAAAAAATTTTCCCTAGGGTATGTGACATGTGAACCATTTTAGTATAATGTATATATAATCGTTATAATGGGTAATCAGGGTAGTCTTGTGCAGTCAGACTATGATCAGGGTGAGAATATCAGGATGAATACTGAAAAATGTGTCTTATTTTTATTTTGGGGGGGGAGGATAGTGAAAGGGCATGGCAAGACTAGCTATATTGCCTTTTATTTAACACATTTGATCTAACATTTTGTACTATGACAGGCTTTGTAATTAATATCCTTTTATTGTTCCCTTTTAGTTGTTTCCTGTTTCCAAGATTGAAGATACTGCATATGCCACTGATTTTGATACTATATCATTTTGAAATCAGACAAGTGAGGCACAATTTTGATTATTTTTATAGGCTTTTATTTATATTTATTATATACGTTTGGTATGATATAGAGCCTGCAGTCGACATAGATCAAGTACACAGTGAATTCTGTATTTATAACTGTACAATCAAATGCCTAAAAAAACTTGGTACTCTATTTAGTGCCAGGCTTTCTCACTTTGCGCAATTACACAATGGATTTAGTACAATATTTTTTACACGTACATGCATATAATTCATTTTATAGAACTTGAGAATTGTGTACACATAGCTTAAGGTTTGTCCACTTTAAATTGCAATATAGAGCACAAGGAATGTAGCAATACAATTTTTAAAATTTGTAATCCATTACTTTGTTGCCAACGAAAAAACATGGAAACACATATCTACTTGCAAGGCAAATACAAGGAAATACCAGTTAAAAAATAAAGACACAAGTACACAATGTAGATACAGAGTAGATAGAATTTCAGTGGATGTGCTATGTCTGGCAACTGATAAACACCTCATTCGTTTGTAATATTTAGAAGAGCTTGCATGACCATGACATCAGTCAAATTACTGTGTACTATATGTAATGGTAAGCATGTAAAGAACGAACTCTAGTAGTAACTAATTTGTTTACTATACTATACTACATGTATATATTTGGAAAATGTGAGATTTTGCTATAGTTGCTATTCACTTTAATTGATTTTACTAAAAGAATGTAAAACATTGCCTCCTACACATAGATACTGTAGCTGCATGATGGAAAGCAGAATCTCTACCTTTTCTTGCTGCTAGAAAGCTCATGACTTCTGCATATAAGTATTTTTCTAACTGCGTTGTTTGTGGACTACTCCTACTTTTAATGAAAAATATTATTACATGGCTCATGTATAATATCAACCATATTCTACACATTAATAAGTGTGACATACATAGGCAGTACAAATGGACAACTGGGTCATGACTGAGAGTGTTGTATAGAAGGGCTTTGCCCAATTATTTTTACTGAAAAATGAAAGTGTGTGATAAATGGGGCCTTTTTCTGGTAGTTTTGTAATTATAATTTCCTTTTCAGTTAGTTGGCTTAATGACATAGGTATTGTAAATGCTTAAAGACGATGCATACTCCATAGCAGGGGCGTAGGCAAGATTTTTGGAAAGAGGGGGCAAGCTATGCGGCGCGCAAAGCGTGCCGCAAAATTTTGCAAAATCACACCCTTTTAGGGCGTAACCACACCTATTTTTTAATATGGCGGACTTAAAGAAAGATCATAGGCAACGTTAAATACCTTTTCAGCTTTATAATGGCATCATAGAAGGACTGATTTAGCCTTTTCCTTTCAAATGTAAGTTGTAGAATAGCTTTTCCTTCCAAAAATAGCTTATTATTTTGTTAATTTAAAATTTTGATTTTAAAAAAGGGAGGGCATTTGCCCCCCTTGCCCCCCCCTGGCTACGCCCCTGCATAGCAATGCCTCATTGTATACTTACATAGAGTGTATGTGTAGGCAATGTATTGTGAGAGGTTGTTTTGCGCGTACATCTCCCAAAAATATATCCATACATGTATCTGCATGGTGTGTGACATTCATGCAAAAAATTACTTTACAAAGTTTAAAATACTATTTTGAAATCAATCAAAACTGAAATGGTATCATTAACAATAGTCTACTACCATTTAGCGAAAAATTTTGAAGGGAATTAAATTTGACATTTTGATAGCCATTTGCCAAAATAAAATCTGCCATTTTGAGCCATTATATGCATGCTCATGGCACATGGCCACTGATTCGCCAAATTAAAATTTGCCAATCACCAAAATTTTTCAGCTCGCCAAATTGAACTCCCTCAAAAATTTCCTGCTATACGGTACAAGATTATGCTGCTAACTATCTAACTACATACACATTTGCCCACACACAGTCACACACACACACACACAATGTCAGTATAGTTCTTTCTCATCATTTGACATACAACTCATAAAGGCTAACAGGAACATTTTCTGGATCCCAACCCCCTTGATCTCCACACACCCTCAACTCAAGGTAGTCATCTGTGGTAGTATTAAGTATCTTATTGAACCATGGAAGACCAGGAACTGTACAACAATCACCTTCAAGACTACCACATCCTTTACCATCCCACAATGGATCAGAGGTATAGAAAGTGTTGAGTTGATAATGATCAGCAGGATTAGCAGATTCACAGAATAATCATCACCGATGAAAGACTGAACTGGAGCACCTTGAGAGCAAGGGCAAGAATTAACAGTATCATTTTGAGCTTCAAACAGTCCAGCCATTAGTGTCCAGACATGTTGACGAGGAGACCCATGAGTGATGCTAATACCATCAACATAATAAGAATTAATATCATTATGACCAGGAAAGAGATGACTAACTGCATCAGGTGTTCCATACTGATATCCCACTACTCTACCACACACTTGAGAGTAACTGATACCATCAGATGGGAATTGAACTGATGTGCAACTAGCTTCACCTGTTTCTCCTCTACCACAAGCTCTAACTCCTCCTTACTGGTACAGTTTAAATCCTGAAGGGCAGTTCTGTGTAGCATCAGTCATATCTAGATATGCTAGCCTTGTCCATCCTCCTCCTGAACCACACAGCTCCTCCATATTACAGTAAACGTATTTAGTTCCGTTATTAGCAGTTGCCAGTAGATACACTCCTGAAGGACTGTTTGGTTGTTTGTTCTTAATGTCTTGACAAGAAGTAGGGATAGGAGAGAAGGAAGATGAGTCATTGTGTAACATGACAAGGTCTTCCACTAGTAGCAGTATATCATTGATAGCTCCAGCATTAGAGGTAGCAGTCTCCTTGATATGAGAGAGAAAAGAAATAATACCATCCATTTTCTGTTTTATTCCTTGAATGCCTTGATCATTGTTGGTATTATTGAGTAGTTCATTCAGTAGCTCATCATCAGTGTTGTATTGATTAGTATTAGTATTACTGGTATCACTGCAGGTAGTACAGGCTGCAGTACAGGTGTTGTTAACAGCATCAAATGTAAGAGCAAGATTAGAACTACTGATAAACTGAGGGAGACAAGCAATAGCTAGTATAAGAAGAGAGAGCATTATTATCCTCTTTGTAATGATTGTTTACTGTTTAATCTTCACTCCTTTTGTAATATTCAGAAGAGCCTGACTATTGACGTCAGTTACTATGTAATGACAAGCATTAAAGAATGTACTCTAATTAGTTTAGGTTTATATAGTTAGTTTTAGTTAGTTTATACACTTGTCTATTCCAAAATGTGTATGTTATGTGATAGTAATGTCTAGCAAAACTTATTTCTATACACATTGATAATACAGTAGTATTGTAACGGACTGATTTAACTTAACAAATTCTTCTAAAATAACACACTCCAAAATGACAAAAATTAATGGCTTAAATACAAAACCGTCACAAAGAGCATGAGGCTACATTGTGTTCCACAATTGACAAAGATAAGGCTAGCCCCATGACCAGCTTACAGAACAAGTAACAAAAGTAAAGCCTAATAAGATAACAGGATAAATCATAAATTCACACATATACTATTTACGTCAACATTACATGATATTACATAACATACATGAACATGTACACTAATTTCATTAACACTAAGATTACATCATCATCTTGACCAAATCTCATGGGTCCTTCACAAGTATGTTATCAAATGAAACAATTGGAAGCCAAGGGTGGCTATTACTGAGCATTAAGGAGATTTCTCAAATATAAGACTGTGAGAAGCCCACCCCAGCTTCTGTATGTATTTTGAATACCATATAGCACTTGAATTTTGCGGAGCTAAAATTTTGCAGATTGATAAAAATTAATTTCTCACAGAAATAACTTTTACAGATTCACAAAGTTAGAGCCATGCCTTTAATGGCAATTGAATATTTAGCAGATTTTTTATTTCGTGTTTACATATGCTACCTGCAAAAACAGCAAAATTTTTGCTCCTCAATAATAAATCACTATACAATATATTATATTCATAATTTAGCATTTTGATAGCCATTTACATTAACTCCCTCCACTTTGTACCATTATGTGCAACCTCAATACCACATGGACACAAATTCACTGAATTAAAACTCCGATCACTAAAATTGTAGCAATTTGCCAAAATTTGTAAATTACCCCCTATGCAGTATATTATTACATTTTACATTATTGTGCCTGATCCTGAATATTTGTGTATAATTGACTCAAACCTTTTAAATTGTTCATTTTTGGAAATTACATGTACCCATTGTTCAAGAAATAGGGGTGTGTATCTTTTGAAAATACTGTGGTCCTTGTGAAGTAGTTTTATGGTCTATAAAATTAGTATAGTTTTCAGTTTCCTATACATCAACATTACTGCAAGGCTCATGGACAGGATACCAATTAATAACAATAGAATAAAAATACAAGTG